CATCTCTAAATGCAAATATCCAAAAGTGCCTGGAGTTGACGAACTTTCTGATAGAAATTGGGGAGAATGGTACTTTAACGGACATGTCAAACTCAGGAATTTTATCTATACTGACATCTCATTAACCAACTTAAATTTGATACCACAATGTTAAACGAATATAATTTTTAAATATGCATGTTACATAGACATGTTGTATATCACTGGAAAGCTCAGAATCTCAGCATTATGAATTCGAAAGAATTATTGCTATATCACTATTAGGCTACGAGATACAGCACTGCAAAGGTTCAAAATGGACCATTTTTAAACCCCTATAAAATCGAAAATGGTTGTCTGACCCCAAAGGTCAAAAGGTCATCAGATATTCAAGGTCACAATTTATCATCATAGTAAATATGAAGGTCACCAAAGGTCAAGGTCATGAGATATACGCCTTCAAACTTTGAAAAAAAATATCCGGTCGTACAAAAAAGGCAAAACCGAAAATCAAAATTCTGTCCTCAACAAGTTTTAGATAAACGTTAATTCTATCATTTAACACCAAAATCGTTCAAATCAGATAATAAATAGCTCCAAAATAGCAAGTTTTGCATATTGAGGCAAACCAATATGGCGACCTATATGTTACTTCTGGTACGAATTTTTTAGTTGTAACACTTTGTATTAGTGACACTAAGCTTATGCATATGTCATTACTGACATAACTCAATTTCACCGGAAGTGATGCCACCGGAAGTACTAATATCGAAACCGGAAGTGATAAACATTTTTTGACTATGCAGAATTATTTGCCCATACCGACGGCCTACATCATAAAAATTTCAAATCGATCCGTCAAAAAGCAACCGAAATAGCATTTTATCGATTAATTTCGACATAAAAAAGTATCGAACGAATTTTGGAAAATTGAATGTTTTCAACTGCTATCATATGTCCTTTGTACTAAGAATTATAATAAAGGAAACCCGAGAAAAATCGAACGATAAATACGCCCTCTACAGTCCATTTCCGGTTTTTTTGCTATCTCACTTCAGGTTGCGCAGAACATTTTCGTTTTACATTTAATACGTGAATAGCCACGAGTTAGAAAACGTCATTTAGTCCGTTTTGTCGTACCTATTTCTGGTTCCGAGAAATAAGCTCCCTAGTTGACGAAAAAAAAATAATCGTTACGAAAACAAAGCAGGGTGTTCGCTTACGAACCCCCTGCAACTAGAACTGTTCTAATTTATACACAAACATAGTTTGAAGTTTGATGAAAATCGGATAGTAAATAAGAAAGTTGGCAATGCGCATGCGCACTACGCAAATTCGATATTTCCATCAAATTTAGAATTTGATTAAACACATACATACCAAGTTTGATGAAAATCGGATAGTAAATAAGAAAGTTGGCAATGCGCATGCGCACTACGCAAATTCGATATTTTCATCAAATTTAGAATTTGATTATACACATACATACCAAGTTTGATGAAAATCGGATAGTAAATAAGAAAGTTGGCAATGCGCATGCGCACTACACAAATTCGATATTTCCATCAAATTTAGAATTTGATTAAACACATACATACCAAGTTTGATGAAAATCGGATAGTAAATAAGAAAGTTGGCAATGCGCATGCGCACTACGCAAATTCGATATTTCCATCAAATTTAGAATTTGATTAAACACATACATACCAAGTTTGATGAAAATCGGATAGTAAATAAGAAAGTTGGTAAATTAAGTGGAGGTATACCTTCAATATGCTGCCGTGAGCTTAAACTAAACTATGACATGATTCAATCCACCTGAAAGCTTAATTTTATACCATAACTGGACAAAGATCATTTTTAAGAAATATAAAAGGGAGGGCATCTTTAAAACAACTTAAAATTTGATTTCTGTTTGGGTTGACAGCCAGGTTAATCTAATTAGCCGATTTATCTAATAATAGTCCCATGTTAAGTGAATGGAGTTTTGAATTTGCATGTAAGGTATGCATGTTATATATCTATGGAAAGCTGAGAATCTCTACATTACAAAATCGAAAGAATTATTGCCATATCTCTTTTAGGGACCGAGATAGAGCACTTTAAAGGCTCAAAATGGTCCATATTTAGACCCCTGTAAGATCGGAAATAGGTATCTGACCCCAAAGGTCAAAAGGTCATCAGATAGACAAGGTCACAAATTATCATCACAGTAAATATGAAGGTCATCAAAGGTCAAGGTCATGAGATATACGCCTTCAAACTTTGAAAAAAACTATCCGGTCCTACAAAAAAGGCAAAACCGAAAATCAAAATTATGCTTCCTATCATTTGTAGACAAACATTAAACAGATCGTTTGACACAAACGTTACGCAAATCGGATTGAAAATGAATTCTGGGAATCGATTTGGGCAAAAATGAGGCAAACCAATATGGCGACAAACATGTTACTTCCGGTACGATTTTTTTTAGTTTAAAAGGTTTGTATTAGGGCTGGTAATATAATGCATATGTTACTTTTGACATAAATCAATTCCACCGGAAGTGCTAACATCGAAACCGGAAGTAATGAAAAAATTTTGAATGTGTGCTTTTATTCCACTTTGTTGGCGGTCTACACCATGTAAGTTTCAAGTCAATCCGCCAAATAACAACCGAAATAGTATTTTTCGATTAATTTCGGCAAAAAAAAAGTATGCAACGAATTTTCGAAAATCAAAAATTTTTAACTGCTATCATTTGCCCTTTGTTACAAGAAATACAATGAAAGAAACCCTATCAAAATCGGTTGATAAACATGCCCTCTAGAGGCGATTTTCTGTTTGTTGCTAACGTCGCTTCATGTTGCTCAGAAAATTTTCGTTTTACATTCATTCCACAATTCTCCACAGGTTAGAAAACATGGTGAAATCCGTTTTGCCGTACCCGTTGCCGTTTCCGAGAACTAAGCTCCCGGGATGAAGAAAAAAAAATAAAAAATAAACAGTTAGAAAACAATGCAGGGCGTTCGTTTTACGAATGCCCTGCAAAAAAAAAAAATAGAACCGTTATAACGGTACCGAAGCAGTGCGCATCCAACCTGATACATCGATAAAATGTTGCATTTTAAAGTCACAATGGGATTTCTTACCGGAAAGAAAAGCATGTAAACGTTCAATAGTAGAAAAAATCGTTTAAACCGTTTACCGTTCGGTAGTGAAAAGACGCATGAATTTGATACCATTCGGTACTAAAAGGTGTTAACATTCGGTAGTAAAAAGTCAAATTTTCAAATAGCTGTAACTTTAAAAGTTCAATTCGCACAACAAAAATGAAAATATTTTTGGAAAGGTACAATAATTTGTGTTTCGACCAAGAGGTCAACAGAGGTCAAATAAGAGAATATAAGCCTTAAAAGTGTTTAAAATTGCTGTTTTGGGACATTTGTAAAAGCGTTAATATATGTCGGACATCAAAGATAAAAGTATGAATGGACATCGTAGATGAATAACCTTTGACCTTCTAAAGACCAAGATTATGCATGTAAATGGTCAAAATATCAAAATTTTATCATTTGTAAATTCCCTTTTTTAAAGTAAAAAGCCTAAACAAAATGTAACTCTATCAGATATTGTCCCAAATAGTGCTTTAATTCTTTGTAAAATTTCGATGGTGAAAAATGCAAACTTTTCGAGTTATAACAATTTGAATTATTTATGGTAAAGGTAAAAGTAACCCGGATTTGCCACGCCCACTGCAAAATTTTTGTTGTCTGTAATAATGTGTACAATGTCAAATAATGTTCAAAATGTCCAGTGTATCATTAGATCATGAGATATTCGTAGTTAAAAGTTTTCTAAGGCAACGGTGACTGTCGGTGGATTATAGAAACCGTTAAAATTACGCAACGTTACTATAGAAGTCAATACAAAATTTTCAAATTCAATTTTAATCAAAATAGATTAGATCATTAGATCATGAGATATTTGTAGTTAAACTTTTTCTTAGGGCAACGGTGACTGTCGGTAAATTATAGACACCGTGATTTTACGCACAGTTACTATAAAAGTCAGTACAAAATTTTCAATTTTTAAAACGCTCAATTTTGATCAAAATATCAAGTGTGATATATCGCCAAAAAGGAGAGATCATGCACTCTAAGAATATATAAGAAATTTTGTTATATGTTAATTAGGTCACGTGACAGAGCTCTTCAAAGTTAAAAATCGCGATTTTCAAATTGCTGTAGTACCGGAAGTTAACAATGCACAACAAAAGTGAAGATATTATCGGATATATCTCGTATGGGGCAACAACCTTTGTTCAGGTCAAAAGGTCAACAAATGTCAAATAAAAGTAATATGAGCCTTTGAAGTTTCGAAAATTGCTGTTTTGGACGTCTGCAAAACCGGAAGTATATATCGGATATCAAAGATCAAAGTAAGAATGGTCATCCTTAGTCAATGACCTTTGACCATGCAAAGGTCAAGGTCATTCATGTTAAAGATCAAAAATGAAAATTTATAAAATTGTTAAACCTATTCCCTTTTTTAAAGTAAAGAATGCAAACAACTGTAATCTTATCACAAATTGTTCTAAGCAGTGATCTATTTTCATGCAAAATTTCTAGGGTGACAATTGAAAACTATGAGAGTTATAACAATTGCAAATATTTCAGGTAAAGGCAAATGCACACCGGATGTGCCACGCCCACTTCCAAAATTTTAATTTGTCTGTGATGATGTCTACATTGTTAAATAATGTTCAAAATTTCAAGTCTTTACAATCATTAGATCATGAGATATTCGTAGTTAAACTTTTTTTTAGGGCAACAGTGACTGTCGGTAAATTATAGACACCGTGATTTTACGCACAGTTACTATAGAAGTTAGTACAAAATTTTCAATTTTTAAAACGCGCAATTTTTATCAAAATATCAAGTGTGATATATCACCAAAAAGAAGAACGCACTGCAATAACCGATACAGTACTGTTCTCAACTGCTGATAACAAAATTATTTAGAATATCCTTTTATCTTACCTTCACAAAATCACCACCTTGTACCATAAATTCTTTTATTACCCTATGAATGAAACATTTATTAATTCGTTACATAAGGCATGGCCTAATTACAGGAGTTAGGTCATCCTCTTCTAATCACATAGGATGAGATCTTGATATATTGATAACTTGAATTATATTCCTCCAAACCATTTACTGTCAAAGTATTAATATCATAAGTTTTAGCTTTGATATTCTGGAAAAAAATTGTTTTCTTTATTCCAGTCAGCAGCATTCCTCCTAGACTGTAAACCCATCACTCTAACTATTTAAATCTACGCTAGTAGCTTCAAGTGGCCCATTGCTATTAATAAACTATAATATTCATATGCCACTGTGTCATCATCAATACCATATATGAGAATTGAATTAGAGGAGATATTACCTATGAAAAACTGATCCTTTGTAACCAATTGGAACACCATCTCTTCTATGTTCACCTGTACAAAACTGTCTGCAAATAAAACATCTTGTGGTCTAAATACTTGTTTTTGAGAGAGAGAGAGAGAGAGAGAGAGATAGAGAACTTGGTTTTATTATTCAGTACGAGGTGAAGATTGAATATTTGCCTTCTAGAGTTTTCATGATCTAAAAATTGAACATGTTTTCAAGAACAAGGGCAATAACTCATACTCAGTATTATTCAGTATCGCCCTAAAGAGTTCAAAAGAAGTGTATGACTGAAGGTTGAATATTTCATACTGGTGATTGTTACTGTACTGCTAAATATTTTTATTCAAAATCACAGCTGCCAGTGGGCGTATATTACCTTGCCTGGCAAGCTATCTTTCAATATAAAACCACAAACAACAAGGAAGTTAGAATTTCAGGCTACGGTAGCCTTTTGTATCAAACTCAGTATTTTTCATCTGAGTCAAAGCCTTGAAAAATATCCCAAATGCTTTGTAGTTGTAATACAGTGAAAAACCCTCCAAACCCCCATCTGTTCTTAACTGACATATTTGAAAAGTCCCGACCGAAACACTATTATCTATAAAAGGAAATTGGCAAACAGTTCCCCCCTCTAAACTACAAAACTGCATTAAAATGCGGTCCTAAAGCTTCTTATCTATAGCTTATTAACCTACAAGGTCTATCTTTCAAAATTAATTTCTATTACTTAGTTTACTAAATATTTACACCACAATAGATGTAAACAAAACTTTAACCCTGTGCCAGCGCCTTTTATTGAATAGTAACTTGTTACTTTCAATCACCCTAATCACTATAAAACCAGCAACTCCAGATTATTTATCAGTAAAGCTATTGACATTATCAAACAATTACTCATTAAAAAATCGACGTCCATTGTTTCAATGATTGATCATTACTACAGTCCAATGCAATGACATTTACTAATCCACAAGATGCTGGTTTAAGCCATTTAACTTAAAGTGATACTACGTCTTAGAATTAACATAAAATTATAGAATTTTAAACTTGGCGAGCCAGTAGATATACCTGGTGTTATAAATAACATAACAAGGATCTTTATATAATACGATAAATCCAAAAAAATAGTAATTATCCATAAATATGCAATTAACTATTGAAAAATGCTTAAAATAAAGATTAAGCATTTTTCAATAATTACTTAGTCTTATGAATTTTCCAATTTTCCAGATTTTGCAGGGATTTTGTTGTTTAACTTAATGACACCAGATAAGGTAACTGATTAATATATACTCATATTGACATGTGCGACCTCGCTTGACCTCCGCATTTGCTTGTTTTGATAAACATGGGTTATCTCTACAATATCAGCTACCGGTAGTAGAATGAATCCAGTAGTTTCAAGCAAGGTAAAATGTATTAATGTATACTTTGACAAATACAAAATGGCCGATTTCAGTTATTACCAAACGTCACCATTTTTTATCGGCCGAATTTCCTTATAATCCCAAGAGGTAATCGGAATTCCAAGTGTCATCTACTAGAATGTAGTCCAATGAATGAAGTCACGTGATCAACTAGCTGATTCCGTGTCAGCAGAAAATTTCTATGGAACACAAAGTGGGCCATATCCTTATGTTGTTTCAGTGTTCTTTAGCAATAAATCACGCTACGTATCTTATTTTGTCAGTCACTATTTTTTTTTAAAATCGTGGTTCTTTGAAGGAATTGTCACGTTAGTTATAATGAATTGATATTAAAGATAAATACTAAGAGAAGTTAATTATACCACCGGGTATCCATACAACATGTTTTTCTAGACTTATTTATAGATCAAACATTGTACACGAAAATAGGTGACGCATTTTGCCGTGGTTGCCGAGTTGGTTGCTCATGAAATATGGGTCAAAGTGAAGGATTCATAAAGAAAATCGAAACAAACCAATTTTAATTTTGTAGAATATCTGAGGAAACATCTAAGACATAAAAATTATTTTTCGTTTTTTTTAACTTTGACGAAATTCGGTGTTGAATCCTTATATGCACGAAAATAGGTTACACCACTGACACTGTGTGTATGTTCATTCTAAGACTCTATCTATCACTTTAAGGAGTTACATAGTAATATTTTACAGCAACATTTATCATCATTGGCTTACCTGAAATTTTGTGCTGTTTTTGGAACTGAATCTGCAAATAATTCAAATTGTATTCTGCCTGCCTCCTGAAATATGAATTCCACAATGAAAGTTGTAGTTTTATAGGCTTAAGTCTATTACTTTGATGTTGTATGTAGTAGCGTCAGCAGAATACCAGGAGAGTTGGCTCCCTTTGCTTCATCATCGATAATAGCATTATCTATAATAAAACCATCATATCTGTGGTTCTACAAAGCCAGTTGGATAATGTCATGTCATCAACTAAATTCAATACAAATTTTTTAGCACATTTTTTGTGTTTGCAAAATTTCGCTATCGAAAAATTATCAGTTCTACTCCCGCTGAAAATAGTAAACAATGAGCAATGCCATGTCGAACTAGTTTCACTTCAGTACAAAATTATATTATCACAATTCCTATACAATTACTATATCAACGTCTAGTGATAAACCCAATACATGCAATAAATGCTCACCACTGTACCAATCTTTATATCAAAGAAGACTATTGGGTTATTAGGATTCGAAGGTTTCTCTGAAAACGACATGGTTTCTTACGATGGATATTTCCTACGTTCACTCTTGATTGGCTCATCCCAGGGACCGGTTGTTGCATGAAATTGAAAGGGACTGTAGTGAGGTTTTTCTAAATTGTTAGTGTTCGGAGAAACTGATGGTATCATAGCATAGCACTAATTTTCAAGTACGTGTGTAAATTGATGCTATCAGCGTCCCGTTAAAGTAAAGCTCTTTATGATGCAGTAGGCTTACTTTCACAGATATAAGCTTAAAGCCAGAGTAAAGTCAATTGTACAATATTAGTGCATTAATCATCCATATACATGTATAACTTTTGGAATAGAAAAAAGTGGAAAATAGTAAAAGAACTAATTATTCCACCTCCATAAATCTTTTCTCCTCAAGTAAATTAGACCCACTATTAAATCAAGGCCGGCCTATTCTACCAATTCCGAAACATGGATATTTTGACAGTTGTCAGCTCTACACCATCTTTTCAAATAGCTATCAGAGGCTGGAATAGAGACAGATGTTTCGGTCTACTAGTGACTTAATGAGGAGGCAATGGTCAAGGTTAAGATTCAAAATATGCAACAAGTCTGTGGAGGCGCCATAGACACAAACATCCTTCGGCTCTTCTGTGAGTGTTCTCCAATAAAATTTGGATAAATTAATATATAGGCCTAGATTCGGTACATTATATTTTGGGGAAAAAAACGTATAAAAATCAAATTTTTAAAAGAAAATTGTTAGGCTATAGGAAGTGGTGGTACAAGTATTTAGCTTTTCGTTTGTTAGTTTTTAAATAGATAGAGATTTTTTTTTTTTTTGTATAGGCCATTAGGGGGAACATTACTGATAGCTAATGTCCTTTACAGTGCTTTTTATGACGTCACTATCGCAAAGGTTCTTATAATACGTCATTTCGGAGTTCGTCACTTGCCGATAAAGTTTTTTGACGCCACGTGACTTTATATCATAGAGACAGTATAAATATAGGTAACTAATTATATAACTGTATGGATTCGACTGGGCTACCAATCAACAAGAAATATCATGATCAGAACGAGTTTGGAAGAATGAAGGAGATCAAGTAACTCACGCCACACTATCCAGGGCCGAGTCTCACCGTCATGTCATTCGACCCGACCAGATCTAACGAATTATCGACAATCCAAACCAGCAACACAGAATCATCCAATTTGAACCAATCCAACTACCAGCTGTCGCTACCACGACTACCAACAGCTACCTAGTTTTGCAATATCAACATCCGCTGGAAGCGAACGTTAACTTGTCATCTACCTACCTACCTAACTCTATGGTCAAAATATACACGGTGGGTTCGCTTTGCCACATTGCCCAACAAGCCCCATCGTTCCCAACTGCAAAAAAACGACTTGTAAAACGAAACTAAAGGTTTCTGATAAAATCCGGAATGGCCAGTTGTTTAACATGAAACGGAATATTTTAATCTCTTTTATTTATAATTTGGACTTGTTAGGGAAATCGAAACTATAGTTACAAAATGGTAAAATCTGGAATAAAATCATTATCAAGTACACACGCTCAGAAAATGAAATGAAATGAATGGAATTTACGTCCTACTATTCTATTCTGCCCAGACGGGCAACGCCATGCAGGGTGCGATGAGGGAAATTTTGCCAGGACAGCGGCATTAGCCTGCTCTTTTTCGATTTCCAACTGTCGAGGGATCTTTAACGTACACAGCCTGTAGCACATGGGGCCTCGGTTTATTGTCCCATCCGAACGACTAGACGCCTTTTCCATATCAGCCCCTCTAACCTGCATCACTGACAGGGAGAAACCGGGTTGAAAAATCCGAAGGTATTATCTCGACCTATGTCGGGATTAAACCCTGGACCTTCAGGTTAAAAATGAAATGAAATGAAATGAATGGAGTGTTACGCCCTACTTTTCTGCAGGGCCTTCAGGTTAGCGAGCAAGCGTCTAACTCACTGAGCCACCGCAGCTCCCACACAGACGATCAGAACCGTAATACAAAATACACAAATCCATAAAACGAAACAAGACAATAAATAAAATATTGGTCATAACTTGCAAGAGTTATGTCCCTCTACTGAGTGCCTATAACGTCACCTACGTGCTAGAAAAAATGGCCACTGAAATGTCTGAAAGTAAAAATCTTCTGAATAGTAAATCAGAATTATCAAGCGAGGAGAAGTTTAGAATTCTCGTATTAGATGTGCCCTTTAATTCGGCAGTGGCTCAGCCCCCAATGGTTCCAGATAAGTCCCAGAATCTCCTGGTGGCAGACAAAAATAGACCAACCTGCGATTGTTTAGAAAAAATGATAGTTCAAACATCGGATGGATCCACAGGAAAATAAGTATTGCGGAATCTAAAACCGTGAGTGGGGAGGTTATATTTTAAAAACTCAGTATTGTCAACATAATAGCGAAAAGTATGACTCTGTAAAAAGGCACAGTACGAAAGTCTTGAAACTGTAGTTTCGATTTCCCTAACAGGTCCAAATTATAAATAAAAAGAAACTCGACGCGGGACAACAGATTGAAATATTTCGTTTCAAGTGAAACAAATGGCCATTCCGGATTTTATCAGAAACCTTTAGTTTCGTTTCACAAGTCGTTTTTGTGCAGTTGGCACGATGCGGCAAGTTGGGCAATGTGGCAAAACGAACCCACCGAAATGTACATCAACAACTTGACGTATTACTGCAGTTGAATGTTTTTGCGGACGAGGGGCAGTTCTATTTCAATTTTACAAGATAGCTTGCCATTCAAGGTAATATACGCCCACTGGCAGCTTTGATTTTGAATAAAAATATTTAGCAGTACAGTAACAATCACCAGTATGAAATATTTAACCTTCAGTCATACACTTCTTTTGAACTCTTTAGGGCGATACTGAATAATATTGAGTATGAGTTATTTCCCTTGTTCTTGAAAACGTGTTCAATTTTTAGAAAGCAAACATTCAATCTTCAGCGGGACTGAATAATAAAACCAAGTTTTGTCAAAATCCAGCAAGAATCATGCCTTTTAGTGTTTAAGAGCTAAATTTGAGGGCAATAACTCATACTAAATATTTTTCAATTCTTCTGATTTTCAATAGGGTTCATCCTTGGGTGATTACGAACACTCACACCAAGTTTCGTCAAAATCCGTCAAGAATTGTGCCTTCTAGAGTGTTTACGAGCTAAATATTGACCGCTTTTTCAAGAACAATGGAAATAACTTTTACTAAATATTTTTAGATTCTTCTGATTTTCAATAGGGTTCATCCTTGGGTGATTAAACACTCACACCAAATTTTGTCAAAATCCATCAAGAATTGTGCCATCCGGAGTGTTTACAAGCTAAAAATTGAACGCGTTTCAAGATCAAGGGCAATAACTCTTACTAAATATTTTTCGATTTTTCTGATTTTCAATAGGGTTTATCTTTGGTTGTTAACAAACACTCATGCCAAGTTTCGTCAAAATCCATCAAGAATTGTGCCTTCTAAAGTGTTTACGAGCTAAAAATTGAACGCGTTTTCAAGATAACGGGCAATAACTCATACAAAATATTTTTCGATTCTTCTGATTTTAATAGGGTTCATCCTTGGGTGATTACGAGCACTCATGCCAAGTTTCGTCAAAATCCGCCAAGAATTGTCCCTTCTAGAGTGTTTACGAGCTAAAAATTGAACACTCATACTCGGGCGGATGGACGGACATGGGTGACGACAATATACGTCCCCCATATCATGTTGGCGTATAAAAAGTAGTAGATGTAACAGGTGAGCTAAATACTAACGAATATGAAAACGATGATAGTAGCTCTAGAAAGATGAACTGCGTGGTTTTGGCATACACTACACTGTGCTGTATCCGGATTATTATGAATGTGTTGTTCGAAGAGGATGCAGTCTTCACATTCTTCTTCTCCAAGCTTAGCAAAGCTGATATTCATTGCAGAGACAAACTTTCGATAAGTCTCATAGCAAGCAATTCCTGGATCCTTTGTCTTGAAATCATCATGCATTTCTTTAATGGAGAGTTCAGGGGATAAATATTTCCTATGAGGGGCGTGTTCGCGTCTGTAATGGCTGATGGCAGGGTGGAAAGGGTTAATGTGATCTGTAATGAGGTTTTTTGGTATTATCACTCATTTTATGTGTCGGAGCATGTTTCCCACGTTTATCTGGAGGTGGTAAAAGATCGTTTAAGAACTTATTAAAAACAAAAGTTATAAAATTGTAAGGTAGTATCGACGTATTGATGGACTCCAGTGACGGAGTGGCAAACTCACTGACGTAGTGACGAACTCATTGACGGAGTGGCGAACTCATTGACGGAGTGACGAACTCACTGACGTACTGACGTATGATGTAGCCCTGACTCGATCAGACAGCCGCCACATTCTAGCAATATAGTTAGCACGCTGTATATGCAATACTAAGGACGTCAGACACGGGGGGAGAAAACATAGGTCGACTATCTTTCTCTATCCGAGATTTCAGGGTATTCACTTTACTGAGTACAGTGTTCAGTTTGTTCTGATTTTCATCGTAATTTTTCTGACGTTCTGCCTTGGCAACTACTCAGTGCTGTTTGTCGATATTCAACGAATACTCGGCTATATTCTTCACTGTTTTCAATTCTTCTAACTTATGTTTCAGACTGTCTTTCTGATATTTGTTATTTTCTTAAATGACGTCTTTAGAGTCTTCGATATTAAGAAAAGAATGGTTTTGGTGTTGACCAAGAAGGCATGTCGAAAACAAAATGGTGTTACAGTCTTCACAGAAACATTTCAGCTCCTCCTTAGGATGTTTGGAGCAGTAATCTGTATCTCCTGTTCTGTTTGTTGAACTCGTTGATGGAGCAGATAGATAAAAATTTGTTGAAAACTTCCTCACCCCGCCATCAGGAATTTTGCTGATTTTGTTACACATTTGATGGCGTTGCAGCTACCCACCAAATTGGAACTAACTAGGTCTTCCAGACACTTCCTACAAAATGTATGATGACAATCCCATAATTTAGGTTCCTGGAATGGTCCAAGACATACAGCACATTCAAACTCTT